AGTAGAGATGGAGTTTCATCATGTTGGCCAGGCTGGTCTCAAACTCCTGACCTTGTGATCCACCCACCTCTGCCTCCCAAAGTGCTGTGATTCAGGCATGAGCCACCTCGCCCAGCGGTAGTTGGTTTTACTCAAGTTAATTTAACACTAGTATCTCTTAAATGCCTCCTCCGTGCAAGAACCACCTCATAAAAACCGAGAGATAGACATATGTAAAGTGCTTTGGAGGAATCTTAGCGTTTTGTTTTTGTTTTTGTTTTGAGACAGAGCCTTGCTCTGTCACCAGGCGCCAGGCTGGAGTGCAGTGGCATGATCTCGGCTCACTGCAAACTCCACCTCCCGGGTTCAAGCAATTCTCCTGCCTCAGCCTCTCGAGTAGCTGGGAGTACAGGCCTGCCACCACGCCCAACTAATTTTTTGTATTTTTAGTAGAGATGGGTTTTCACCATGTTGGCCAGGATGGTCTCAATCTCTTGACCTTGTGATCTGCCCGCCTCGGCCTCCCAAAGTGCTGGGATTACAGGCATGAGCCACCGCGCCCGGCCAGAATCGTAGTGTTTTAAAAGTAAAAGTATCACCGGATCAGCACTAAAATAAAAAAGGCATTTCTAATTATCAAATCTATAAAGGATGAAGAGAAAATTTTAAGATTGCTTAAACATTCTTCATATGTGTGTGTGTGTGATGCAATTAGATTTTCCTCACAACTGTAATAATTGGAGGCAGTTTGGAGAATTATTAGGGATGAAGACAATGTGGAAATCCAATTCTGACCTAAGTCACTGTTTTATGACCGCAAGCCTTCTTGTGCCTCAGAGCACAGTGTGCATACTTTTGTTCTTGTCACCTTCTATTGAAATTGTCTCCTGTTTCCCAGCTCCCAGTCCATCGGATCTGTGCAGCGAAGTTGTATTTGGTTACCTGTATGTGTTCTGCACCTGTATGGCCCCTGACACACAGGCTTTCCTTAATACCTTTGTTGCTCTGCTTTTCTTGCTTTTCCTTATGAAATAGACAAAAGAACAATGATACAAAGTAGCTCAAAGTTCAGGATGTTCTTGCTATGTTTGTTAAATCCCTTCCCAGGGTACTGGGGAACTGACATCTCTAAATAACTGAGGGTGATAGTGAGAAATGCACTTTTTTTTTTTTTTTTCTTGCTCTGTCGCCAGGTGCCAGGCTGGAGTGCAGTGGCGCAATCTTGGCTCACTGCAACCTCTGCCTCCCGGGTTCAAGCAATTCTCCTGCCTCAGCCTCCCGAGTAGCTGGGACCATAGGTGCATGCCACCATGCCCAGCTAATTTTTGTATTTTTAGTAGAGACGGGGTTTCACCATGTTGGCCAGGATGCTCTTGATCTCCTGACCTCGTGATCCACCTGCCTCGGCCTCCCAAAGTGCTGGGATTACAGGCGTGAGAGAAATGCACTTTTAATAACTATCATTTCATCAAAATCTTATGAAGGGAACAACATAGGAAGACATTAACATTGCGTTTGTTTTTGCGTTGAGTCAAAATAGAAGCCTCTCAGGACTGGAACACCAGGAAGCAGCTTGATTGCTAGGGGGGTCTTCCAGTGCCACAGCAGGCAGGTCTGCATTTGCTCACATTGGTCTTTCCTTTCACCTTCCATGTTCAGGGTGAATTGCCCCATTCCTTGACTTTTTCAAGAACCCATCGACTGGCATCTTCTGTCTTGCCTCACTCATATTCATCCCACATATGCTTTGCAGAATGCTCTTATGAATGAGTCAATTTCATATCTTCGCCATTTAAAACCTTCCATGGCTCTCCACTGCTTACCAAATAAAGCCCCACCCTTGGCTTTCATAACTCTCCATCCAGATTCCACCTCTATTTTCCTTCTATCTCAGGCCAACCCCAAAACACAATTAAACAAAAGTGTAAGCAGCTTTTACATAAATAAACCCTGTACTTTTCCTGCTCCTGGCTCCTTCCTGTCTGAAATTGACTTTCTTGATTCGCTTTAAATATTATATATTTTCATAAAATCTTTTTTTAGAGACAAAGGTCTCACTCTGTCACCTCAGCTGGAGTGCAGTGGCAAGATCGTAGCTCACTGCAGCCTCAAATTCCTGGCCTCATGCAATCCTCCCACCTTAGCCTCCCAAGTAGTTAGGATTTCAGATGTGACCCACCATGCCTGACCACATTCTCATAAAAGCTTAATTTGAATCCCTACCTCTCTCTGAATCCCTTCCTCCCTCGTCACTTTTACAGATTGCCTTCTCAGCTTTATACAGATGTATCATTACCTTACAACACAGCTGTCTTAGCTCCTCTCTTAAATAAGGCCTTGGCTGGCAGAAATACATTTTAAACTGTAGTATACCCACAGCTTGTCCTCCTGCAGTACCCAAAATTTCCTTACATAGAGAGTGTGCATTCAAAAAAAGACAGTATTTGTTGCTAGACACATATTTTATTCTCTCTAAACACTGGCTGTAGTTAATGTTTTTCACATTTTTTTCTATAGGGATGAGGGGATGCAGTTACATAATAAGTTATAACAGGGTCCCCCAGGCGGGACACAGTGGCTCATGCTTGTAACCCCAACACTTTGGGAGGCTAGGAGTTTGAGACCAGCTTGGCCAACATGGCAAAAACCTGTCTCTACTAAAAATACAAAACTTAGCAGGCCATGGTGGCTTATGCCTGTAGTCCCAGCTACTTGGGAGGCTGAGGCATAAATTACTTGAAACCAAGAGGCAGAAGTTGCCGTGAACTGAGATCATGCCACTGCATTCCAGCCTGGGCAGCAGAGCGAGACTCTGTCTCAAAAATAACAAAAATAAAAAGGAAACAAAACCAAGGTCTCCTAAAGGCCCCATCTTTGAATCTTACTATAATTCCTCTTTCATACATCATAAACAATGCTTAGTTTGCAAAGTCACTAATAATTTAAGAAGCCTACTTCTTAAAAGCCAAATTGGACAAGGAGAGATGTTTGATTATTATTCCAAAATCTAGTTAAGTGTTTAATCAAACATAATTAAACATTTCAAAATAGTTGTAAAGGATTAAAAAGATAAAATAAAAATCAACTTTAGTAGAGCCAGAGGAAGATTTTATTTATCAATGTGGTGATTAAAAATGTTTAAAAAGAGGAATAACTTCAGAAAAGGAAACAAAAACTCAGAAAAAAATATATTCAAAGTATTTATCAGGAAGAGAAACACTGAGTACCATTCCTAGGCCACAGGCTTCTTAATATGAAACCCAACCAATACTCAAAATTGTAAAGTCTCAGCCCTTGATATTCAGTCTGGAAGTAGAAATATATCCTAAATCACAGCTTAGGAATGTTTCCTAAATATACATTTTATCATGATTTACATTCAGAAGAGTGCTATTCAGAGAAACCTTCTGCATCTGTAGCTATGGCACAGAGAATGACACAGACAGGAGGGCATTCTCCCATTTCCCCTTCCCACACCTTTGCTCTAGAATCACGAAGAGCCTCAATGAAAGTCCCCAGGTCCGTAGAGGAGGGATCCAGTGAATCAGCAAAATGCAGACTAATCAAGATAAAGTGGATCCAAGAAAGGACTTTGGCTTGACAGTGAATCTTCACTTTCTGGCAGTAGGAAAACAAGGTAGTGTATGTTCTTCTGCCATTTCTCATCAGGCCAGCTCTTCTGGTTCCACTGGGAATTCTGCTCCAGTCTGGGAGATGCTGCTGCTACCAACACACAGGGTGTAGGTTCTGCCCTGGAGGAGCTCAGCCCTTGGGTCTAATCAATGATGCCTTTGGAACACAGCAGCCCACATGGCACCACTCAACACTGAAGGCAGTCACAATGAACACCAGGCCAGAACAGCAAGTGTGGGTTCTACTCCTGAAGCAGGCTTCTAGAGATCAGCATCCTCATCACTTCATTACTACCTGTAAGAGGGAGGAAGAAGGAAGACTTTCATAGCAGTGAAGTCTGAGAGTTCGGTAAAGCTCTGACTAGGCTGCTCCAGGTCTAGTTCAGGGTAGTTGCAGATTTAAATTAGAATCACTGCTTTTCTCCTGAGGGAGATGAGATTATCAGAGACTTCTCTAGAAAGTACCAAAATATGTCAAGAAATAATATTTACTTTTTTAAAAACTTCTGACGGTAAAAATGCTTATATGAAGTTTAAAAAGGCAGAATAAAAACAGTATATATCGTATAATTCTAATTAAAATTAAACATGTACTAACAAAGGCATAGTAAAATGCCTAAAAGGGATATACCAAAATAACATTCTGGATGTGGAAACACAAGTGATTTTTTTCTTTTACTTTTTTTTTTTTTTTTTGAGACAGACTTGCTCTGTCACCCAGGCTGGAGTGCAGTGGCTTGCTCTTGGCTCACTGCAACCTCTGCCTCCCAGGTTCAAGCAATGCTTCTGCCTCAGCCTCCTGAATAGCCAGGACCACAAGCATGAACCACCATGCCCAACTAAATTTTTTTTTTTTTTTTTTTTTAGATGGAGTCTCACTGTTGCCCAGGCTGGAGTGCAATGGTGCAATCTCAGCTCACGGCAACCTCCACCTCCCGGGTTCAAGCAATCCTCCTGCCTCAGCCTCCTGAGTAGCTGGGATTACAGGCATGCACCACCACGCCCAGCTAATTTTTTGTATTTTTAGTAGAGTCGGGGGCTTCACCATGTTGGCAAGGCTGGTCTTGAACTCCTGATCTCATATGATCTACCTCCCTTGGCCTTCCAAAGTGCTGGGATTACGGGCATGAGCCACCGTGCTCCGCCAATTTTTTGCATTTTTAGTAGAAATGGGATTTCGCCCTGTTGGCCAGGCTGGCCTCAAGTGATCCACCCACCTCGGCCTCCCAAAGTGCTGGGATTACAGGTGTGAGCCGCCGCACCCAGCCTACTTTTCCTAATTTTATAAGGTTTCAACAATAAATACACATTTCTTTGGATATCAGAAAACTGACATAAAAGAATGAAAACATTTTCCCTGAAAGGAGGGTATCAATTATTTGCTTCATTTTTAGTGGTGGCCTTTAATGCAAAAAGAAACATAAACTCCCTTGAGGAATCAGTAGTTCCAACATTTCAAATAAAGCATGCACTGTAGATTTATCCAACAGTAAAGTCCATGATGAAACAAACTGATAAAGTGAAGAGTGCCCCAATTCTTCTACAAGTAGATGATGGTGTAACCCAAAATAAATGCTTCCCACTTATTACTGCAGGGTTGAGAGAGAGTTGGAATGAAGGCGAAGTTCCCCACGCACATAAAGCTGAGTGAGAAAGCAATTGCAAGAGTAATGAAAGGAAACACACTCTGGGAAATTCAGTTTGAACACTAGCGACTGAGCTCAGAAACATCTTTCTGGAAAGAGGTTTACAGAAGAACGCAGTAGTCTAACCTTTGGTAGCATGTGACTCAGACATAACACCAGCATGGTGAGTCTCAAAGTATGGTTCTCAGACAAGCTGCCGCTGCCTCACCTGAAGACTTATTAGAGATACAAATTCCTGGCCCTCCATTAGACCCACTGGAGCAGATGTTCTGGGGCCTCCCATGCCCTCCAGGTGATTCCAGCGCAGGCTGAGGTTTGAGAAGACTGCTGTGAAATGGGCTGGGAGGCCCCGTTATACAATGTTTCCAGCAAGGCAGCCTCCTGTTGCTTCACTGAAGTCACTCAGAGAAGGCTCCGCCCCTCCTGCTTTTCCAAGAGTCGTGTCATTTCAAGACTTCCGCACTGGCTGTAGGCAGTAGAGACGGCCAGGCTCTGAGCCTGACCCCAACGGCTTACATGTTTCCTAGACAGAATGTCTGTGACTACCAAGAAGATATCCATACACCGATGGTTTATTTTATTGAAAAATACACTAGTAATATACAGACAGATATTTAGACCATCTGGCTGATAATCAGTTTAGAGCTACTGATGACCATACTGGCTAACATTTGCCCTGTAAATCACTGTTCTTGGATTCCTGAGAACCACATACTTTATAACCTTAGAGAAAAGACGGCTGTAGTTTCAACATGTTTTCTCGTCCATAATCTCAGTTCACCCTTCTCGCAAATCTACAGAGGAAAAGAGCAGAAGCAGAACGATCTGATGCCCACCCACTGTGATGAAGCTGAGTCTCTGGACTCCAGGCTAGAGCTGTGCTTGTGCACCAAGCCCCTGCCAGAGCAGCTCTGTGGAAAGGGAGGAAGGAAAAGCCTTGAAATAGACAGGGCTTGACAGGACTCTGAGGCCCTGGTGGCATAGGGACAGACACACTGGGGAAAGCAGCGATCCTGCCGCCGGTTCTGAAGGGAAGAGAATAGCTTCTGGCAATTTTTACCTTCTAGAATCTGGTGGACCCTGGAGTCCCGCATATACTGCTGAACAGCATAATCCTTCAGGTAGCCATAGCCCCCGTGCATCTGTAAGGCCTGGTTGCAGATCTGCAGGGAGACAGGGACTAGACGTCTTGGACTCTGGGAAGGCTGTAAAGAAAGCAGCTTCCCCTTCTACCCCAGCCCACGATCTGGCAGCCTGTGGTAAACTGATGAGAGAAAGAACCATAAGCAGCCAAGCTCAAAGAGGGCCTCAACATTCTGTATGGTCAGAGACAAGGGAAGTTCATCTACTAAACTTATCAGTTCCCACCAGACAGGTGACTCAAAGCCCTCAACCTGTGTCGCTTATTACCTGCCAGGAAGAAGCTGCCCACAGCCACCCTGTGGAATAAGAAGCTACGGTTTCCCCTAGCGGCAATGCCGCCTCAGTGGAGCTCCGCCCCTGACAATGTAAACATGGCAGAGCACTAAATTTGGGCTGCTGTGAACCTTCCGAAGGTGGTTTTTCATCTAGAACACAAGCAAACAACAGTGACATAATAAAGTGTGTTACGGCATGCAGCAGACCTAAAAGCCAGCTATGAGCTCCCACGCAGGCCACTCATGAGTTAATTTATCACCTTAAGCTTAAGGTGATCCTTGTGGCATTCCGGGAAGGCTGGGTTCCAAAGCTGACTCATGCCTCTCAAGACTCCTGGGCCTAGCAGCTGTTCCCTGTCTATCCCAGGAGAGCCAAAGGGATCACTTACAGCAAAGCATTCATGTGTAGCAAAGAGCTTGGCCATGGAGCACAAGGCCACTGCATCTTTCCTCTCATCCTGCAGAGCCACGGCTGCACTGCGGATCATCAGCCGTGAGGCCACCAGCCTTGTTGCCATATCTGCCAATTTGAATTGCAAGTACTGCAGCACAGGGAGAAGAGAACAGACAAGACTGAGGGGCTTAGACCACCACCTGGTCCAGGAGCCTTGGTAAGACATCTCTGAGGCGCCTTTCCTAAGTGATCCAAAGCTTCAAAGACTCTTGCTTCTTCTACAGAGGAAATTTATTCCTGTATAAATGCTAAGTCCACTTCACTCACCCGACACTTTCAAATCCTTAAAGATATCCTGAAAGAAGATGGATAGAAATAAAGCAAGAGTCGAAGACAGTGGTGAGGCTTATGGAGGGATTTCCTGGCTTCTCTCCTAGAAAATGTGGGCTGCAAATAGTGGAAAGCCATGTGAAGGCAAGGAAGAGGTTACCTGGCTACTGGCCAGAGGCTCTCCAAACTGCTTCCGGACGTTGAGATGGTCTCGTGTGAGGATGATAGAAGCGTGGGCAGCCCCCAGAGAGCAGGAAGCTGTCAGGGAAGGGCGCTGACATTCCCACTGAGCTGGAAATGTCACTGCCAGTCCCGGCCCGCTACCTCCCTGCCCCAGCCCTTCGTGTCTCACCAATGTTGATCCTCCCTCCGTTCAGTCCTTTCATGGCAATGCTGAAGCCCTGCCCCTCGCTCCCAATTCTGTTGGCCACGGGGACAGCACAGTCTTCAAAGATCACTGCTCGTGTTGGCTGCGAGTTCCACCCCACCTGGCAAAAATCAGGGACTGATTTTTTACAATCCAGCAGGTAGGGCAGCCTTCCCTGGAGACAGAAGCCTGTGAGGTATGGGTTTCAGCACCCAAGAATTAGACCCACAAGAACTTAAAATGAGGAAAAAGAAAAAGTTCAGATTTAAAGGCCCATCAACAGTCACAAAGATATGTTACAGCTAAGCATTTTCTAACTTACTAAGAGAATCTACTTTATAATGTCTACCCTACCTGACTAACCTACAAACACTTCTTACGACTTCTTTTAGGATTGTGGCACAAACTGCCCTCATATTCAGTGCCTCTAATTGAGAACACTCTTTTTACAAGAACAGAGACAATATAAGGACAATCTGGAGCGTTATTCACTTCTAAGGGCCTTAGCAACAGCCACACTTGTCTTTTGAAATGCTCACTGTTCCTAAAGATTAACATCATTACACGGAAGAAATAACATGCACTGCCAGCAACACCTCGTCTGGCATTTAGCTGCAGGGACATAGTCACGTGCTGGCGCTTGCTCATGGGAGCTAATCATGTACTTTTTTTCCCCTACCTCAGCATTCCACGATATCACAGTGGTGGCCTGAAATCAGCCATGGGGAGAGAAGTTATATCATAGAAATTGGCAAACATTACAAATGTGTGTGTGTGTGTGGCGTGTGTATGTGTGTGTGTGTGTTTCCCCACGCCCCCAAAAGAGCTGGTCTAGCAGGACATCTGGCTGTTAGTCATAAGCTCAGAGAAAAGTTTGAATTCTTAAGATATAGTCTACGTCATGCAATTAATTAGCTGTATTTTTCACACGTAGACAAATCACTCGATTTCTCTGTGGTCTTTGTTTCGCTGATAATAAAACAAGGGAGTAGGATAAAACAGCAGCGGCGCCTCTGTCTTTGAACAAAATCTTGCATATAAACAGATAAGGCTCCACTACGCAATCCCCTTCATCTCCTCTCCCAGGTACTCCAAAGCTTCAAATAACTTTAAGGCTTAGGGATCCATTTTGAAACCCACAAACTATCTAAAATCTCCCAGTCCCTTTCTGGCTCTGAAAATATGACTGCCTTTACATCATTTCCTTGCTCTCTTTTGTTGAGAGGATAAACCCCATTTCTAAGCCTTGTATTGAAGGTCTTTCTGCCCAGGAGTTAGCATAGGCTTTGTACACAGCAGAAACCTAGGAAATGGCTGCTGTGTTACCACAAAGAAGGGGGTGCTAAAATGCATCGTGCCTTGGCAGTTACAGAGGATCAGGAAGGATCCTGTAGGAAAACATGGAAACCCGAGGAGCTGTGAGAAAGAGGTACACTTGGGGGTCATTTCATTACTTGCCTTCTCTCACAGAGTCTTCTGTGTAACAGTACAAGCTAGAGAGAGATGACGGCTTTGAGCATCTGGCCTAAAAAAATCTGAATGGGTCTTGAACCCTTACTACCAATTACAGTGACACAATCACAGATCTGTTCATGGCCTGGCCATGGCGTTTCTTGATCCTGGAAGTGTCTTACTTTTCAAAGCACCTATAGTACCTAAGTGTCCTTAGGTTGCTGAAATACCCGCAATCATCTCCAATGAGTTTTACTTTATTTTTAATCAAAGAAAAAAAAGGGACCACATGCCTTCCATTAGTGAGACCTGTGGTGAACCCCAGGTCTTCTCTTAGTGTCTCTCCCTGGAGTAACAAAGTCCACCAACATAAGAAGCTGGATAAGAAACACAGGCCAAAAGTGGAGGCAGGAGAGGTGAGAACGCTAAGTAACAGGTGGCTTGTGGAACTTACTGGCAAACTCTGTCACTTTCCCTGGAGGCCTAGTGTCTAACAATGCCCTACTGTATTTTATATGCTCCTGTTGAAAATCCTAATAGAAGCAGTTGCTTCAAAGGTAGGATAGCAAGTATGCAACCCTGTTTTCTGAAACAGAGCAGCGGTTGGGCTGGCACATGGCAGAATCTCATAATTTGAATTGTTTCCTACCCAACAGCCACTCACCTTTTTCTCCTTCTTGCCAAAGCTGAGGCCAGGGGTCCCCTTCTCAACAATGATGCATGAAATACCCTTGGGGCCTGGACCTCCTGTTCGGCACATGACCACATAGATGTCTGACTCGCCAGCACCACTGATGAAGGCCTGTGAGGGTAAAACGGGTACACAAGGACCAGGGAATGCGTGAGTTCTCGTGGCGTCTGGGAACACCACTGGGGTCCTCCTAACAATAAGGTCTAACGACACAGACATTGAGGAGGGGTAAAGGTAGCTGCAGTGACTGCAGAATCAGAGATTTCGTTCATGAGAGTATTAAAAGGATAGACAAAAGTCAGTAAAATGATCTGGAATAGATCAGGAGAGATAGAAACAATGAGAATAAAGAAGGAGAAATGAGTCAGAGATTCTCTTCCCAACACATAAAAATCCTATGGGAGTATTAACCCGTAGATGTGAAGGAACCAGAGGATGTCAGGAGGAAGCTGGGAACAATCTCCAAGGTGCTCTGGGAGGACGCATGCTAGTACCTTGGAGCCATTGAGGATGTAATGATCTCCCTGTCTTTTAGCAGAGGTCAGAAGAGAGGCAGCATCACTCCCGCTTCCTGAGGAGAGATCAAAAGACAGCAGAGAGAGGGTGAGAAAGTCAGTGAGGTCAAGGGAGCCCAGCACAATTCTATCTCCTAGGAAATCTTCCCTGGACAGACACTGGTCAGAGGGTGCCACTGCAAAATCCAGGTGGCCAAAGGAACTCCGTACTTGGTGGAAAACTGCTCGCACCAGTCAGGCCACTGTCTATCTCCCAACCCACCATATAGGCCGCCTGGTTCTTCTGACATCAGGTCATAGGACACTATTACTTCTTGGTCAAACATACTGGTAAATAGTGGCTCAACGTGCCAACAGGCTGGAAGGAGTGATGGGTGATGCCATCTGAGGCACGCCTCTCTCTCTGCTGTATCTCAGTGCAGTGTGGCAAACCCACCTGGTTCAGTGAGGCAGTAGGAAGCAAACTTCTCCATGGTACAGAGCGGTGGGCAAAATCTGTGCCTCTGTTCCTCATTTCCAAAGCTATCAATCATCCAGGCACACATGCTAATAGGTACACCAAGAAGAAAAGATATCGACAGAAATAACGGTGGAAAAGAAAAAAAAAAACTGGGGAAGAAGGGGAAAGAGAACAAAGGGCAGGGCAGCAAAGCAGAAGACTGGGAAGGGGAAAGTCACAACTGGGAAGACACTTTAAAGGAAAGGGCTGGATTAAAACATATTCCTGGAATATGGACTACCCAGAGATAACCAGGCCCACGTACTTCTCACCAGGACGTTTGTACTACTTCTAGTCAGGTTAAACAAGCCTCTAAAAATCAAAGCATTATATGTACTTGCTATTAGTACCTTCTATTACTTTCTCAAATCACGGGCAGTTCCATCTTTGGACTGAAACGGGTGAGAGGACCCTGTCCACTCTATTGGAGAAGTCTCCTGGTACCAGCTCAATCTTAAGATTTCTGGGAAGGCTGGCTGCCCTGATTCTCTAAGCAATACAAAGGACAACAGAATCAAGTCCAACAGGCAGCAGCAAACCTAGCGTGTTCCTTGAGGACACTCAGCCTCACAAGATCAATCTTTTTCCTATGGATCTGAACTCTCAGTCACCCCATGTGCACTTCATTGTGCTTTCCAAGCGTGGGCACTCACTTGTGGATGCTTATATAGGCTGTGGTGCTGGTGCAGCCTGTAGCCAAGGCTTCAAAAATGACCGAGGTATCAAGACGTGACAGTCCAGACCCACCCACATCTGTTCGTACATAGACCCCTCCGAAGCCTAGCTGGGCTGCCTTCCGCATCATATCCACTGGGAACAGCTCCTATATACAAAAGAGAGCAAGGTCATCAGCAACTGATTCAGAGACGGCTTTCCTTTTAGAGGGTACAGTAAGGAGATCAGGATGCTTACACGTAAGTGAGCATATGGATTCTCTTAATATGCCTGTTTGTCATCTTACAGTGGTTATCAGTTAACATGGATCCTGTAGGAACTGTTTTTCTGGCATTATGAAGTTTCTTTTTATTACCTATAGAAATGTCTTAGTTTGATGTCCAAATCTTTGTTCAACTAACAAAAAAAACTTATGTACAAGATGATCAGGATGCCTTTCTAGGAAAGGAATCATCCGCTGCCGGTATTCTCACTTGTGGCAAGAGTTGGTAGGTGGAGGAGACATTGAACAATTAGATTATCAGGAGACAAAGATAAAGGTCTACCTGAGACATCTGTTAGAACGTCTAAGCACAAGAAAAATTCCTACCTTCTGGTCCCACTCTGCCATATTTGGAGCCATCTCGTGGGCAGCAAAGTCAAAGGCTACTTTCTGAAATTCTTTCTGCTCTTCATTAAGTCCCATGGAAGCTGTGGGCAGGATTGCATATACTCAGTTCTAGGACAGGGTCAGGGAAGTGTAGCCAGCAAGAAGCACCACGAAGCTGTGAAAGTGGATCTACTATAGTATTTCGCATCCACAGTACAGCTTTAACAGCTAGAGAATGGCATCTTCTATCATTGTTCCACTTGTCATATGGAGAAAGGACAGTTCTAACACACATCCAGATCAACCTAGAACAGGATGGAGGACTTCCAGACATCTCTTATCCTAGCCACTTAGTAAAATGCAGTTGTAGACCTAGAGGTCGAGGTCACAGTGCTAAAACTTTGATCATTGTAAGTGCCACTAAGGAGCACTATGGGAAGACTATGGAGACACACTTGAACAATAATTTATTTCAGTGCCTGCAAGCGATCCAGTCGTTACAAAAGAACACAAGTGCAGGTGCCAGAGTCTGTTCCTTGGGGCAAATGTGGGCATCGGTAATATCTGGCTGTGCGAGCATGGAGAGAACACTTCTGTCTGTGAGCAGTACTCTCATTAAAATGGGAATGTCAGAAATGAATAGTTTTGAGGATTAAAAATTAGACTGCCTTGAAAAGCTCAGAGCAGAAAACTATGACAGGTATTACTCTCAGGAACAGAACTAGGGATAAACAATTCATGGTTCTCTGACTGGGGTCAGGCCATTTCTTTACCCAATTTTGTACAAGGGTTGCTGTAGACCATGGCTCAAAGATCACTCCCTAAAGAATGTGTATTGGGTGTTTACTACGTAGCAGTGCTGGGGTTACACAAATAAATATGGTCCAGCTGCACTGTGGCTCACGCCAGTCATCCCAGCCCTTGGGGAAGCCAAGGCAGGCGGATCACTTGAGGTCAGGAGTTTGAGACCAGCTTGGCCAACATGGTAAAACCCCATCTCTACTAAAAATACAAAAATTAGCCAGGCATGGTGGCACACGCCTGTAATCCCATCTACTCAGGAGGCTGAGGCAAAGAATTGCTTGAACCTTGAAGGCAGAAGTTGCATTGAGTTAAGATCGCACCACTGCACTCCAGCATGGGTAACAGAGCCAGACTCCATATCTAAATAAATAAATAAATAAAATCCATTCACACAAGATGACATAAATGGTAATAATGGAAACATTTTATTTCAATCCTAGCAAGAACTCATTAAATGTTAACAATTCTTCTTCTTTTGTAAATGGCTACTTCCTAAAACAAATAGTTCAAGGAACCACAGGCTTAAGAAATAAATCCTGGCTGAGCCTGGTGGCTCATGCCTGTAATCTCAGCACTTTGGGAGGCTGAGGTGGGTGGATCACCTGAGGTTAGGAGTTCAAGACCAGCCTGGCCAACATGGTGAAACCCTGTTTTGTTTTGTTTTGTTTTTTTTAAAAAAAAAGGAAAGAAAATCCTGAGTTGCATTCTAATAGCAGAAAATGGTTTAATGCAAATCATATGCATAAATAAACACAACCTAATTACCGAAGTTCCCAGAAAGAAATACACTACAAAAAACAAAACAAACACCACCACTCATGAACTTTGCTAGTTACTGGCAGAGTTCCAGATGCCAGTACATACACACTAAAAAGATGAAGGTAAATAGAAAAACAGCCCAAATAAAATGGGAAAAGCCTTTTACTGCAGAGCAACTCAAGTGTAAGTAAGATGCAAACAACAACAAAACCCACCTTTAAATAAGTCTTTACCTGCTTTGGTATCAACTAGAGTGATCTGGGTTATCAAATTCTACACGTTAGGACAGGGCAGCACCTCTTGAAGGAGTTTTAGGACATTGAGAAGAAAACAGTATTCTATGCCTTACTGTACTTTATAGATCTGATGTCTAAGGGATGTATTCTGTTGAAAAGAAAACTGTCATTTATTTAAAATAAATTTTAAAATGTTTCAGAAGAAAAAAGTGTTTATAAAGGTGCTTGGCAGAGAAGTCATAAACTGGCCAGGTTCCTTCAGTTCCCTGCTGGGTCCCCACCACTCTTTGTTACATTCAAATTATTTATTGGTTAGAGCCTACAAACACTCAGGTTTGTTGGCCCCGGTAGTTTCCCACTTGCAAAAATAATTATTTTTCCTGGATGAGTAAATGTGTCCTCTAGCCAGAAGCATTATGATACCAAATCTTTCTGTGTGAGCAAATCTCGTGTGCCCTGCCACCATCAGCACTCAGCCAGCTTCTTACATTCTCATTCCCTTTATGACCCACCGTTAGGATTTTAAAAACCAACCAACCCAGCAACAACAAAGCCCCATGTTTCTTCTCTTCTCTAAGCATCCGAGGGTGAAAGGCCGGAGGAGGACCCGAGCTAGGGGTGACGGGCCGGAGGGGAACCCGGGCGGGGATCATGGGCCGGAGAAGGACCAGGGCTTGGGTGACGAGTCGGAGAAGGACCTGGAAGGGAGTGACAGGCCGGAGGAGGACCTGGATGGTGGTGACTGACCGGAACTGGAAGCTGGGCAGGGGTTGACCGGCCGGAGCGGGGAGCCGGCCGGGGGTGACAAGCCGGAAAGGGGAGCTGATGCCGGGGTGACTGAATAGAGCGGTGAGACCGCGGCCCCTCGCGGACACCTGTCCTCCCGCCCCCGGCAAGCGATCCTTACGGTCGATGCAGGAGGTCAAGTTCCGGTGGCCGGTCTGGACGAGGGCCCAGAGACCGCCAGGCAGACAGCCGAGGCGTGCCCCGAGGCACTGGCAGCCGCTCCGCAGCATCGCTGCCGCCGCTCACTGTCCAGCTGAGTGCCAGGGCGCCTATGACCGCCGCTGCATTCGCACTGGCAGGACCTGCGACCCGGCAACCCCTACCCCACTGCACCCTGGGTGTTTTAGTCCTCCCACAAGCCCTCACGATTCAGTTCCCAGAGGGTATCCCAAGGGACCAGGACCACAACTCCCAGAATTCCCCGCGATCTCGGCGCCACAGAGACGCATAGCCCACCGAGCGCCGCGGGATCGCGCTGCACAGTCTCCGGCGCGCCGGGGGGCCGCGGTTACGTCTGCAGAGTGGTGGGTCTGTGTGGTGAGAGTGGGGTGCGGGGGATGAGAAGGACCAAGGAAAGAACCGAGGAGAGTTTAGGGGCAGGTTATGCGAGATGGAAATGGCGCAGATAACGGAGGGAAGGATTTGAGGGGCTCAAACACAGGTGTCTTTTGCAAATGTTGTGGACACTCTAGGCTGCCTCTAGTTGCCTCCATCTCGCTCTGCGTGGGTTTTGGGGGATATTCGCGTTCCTTGTATCTCGGTTGATTCCAGAGCCTTCCGCACTTCCCTGCAGGGAGACTATGTCGAGACCCCGGAAGAGGCTGTCTGAGACTTCTGGCCCAGGTGAGCTGCCCCTAGGCTGCACAAAGGCAGCCCAAGTAAGAACCTTTTGTGATTTTTTTATTTCATTTTCCTTAGTCACTATCCTTTTTTTTTTTTTTTTGAAGACGGAGTCTCTCTGTGTCACCCAGGCTGGAGTGCAGTGGCGTGGCCTCGGTTCACTGCAACCTCTGCCTCCCGAGTTCAGGCGATTCTCCCGCCTGTCTCCCTAGTAGTTGGGACCACAGACGCGTGCCACCACCCCCAGCTAATTTTTGTGTTTTTTGTAGAGACGGAGTTTCACTATGTTGGCCAGGCTGGTCTCGAATTCCTGACCTCATGATCCGCCCCCCTCGGCCTCCCAAAATACTGGGATACAAGCGTGAGCCACCGCGCCCGGCCCCACTCTCCATCTTCTTTACTCGTCTCAGCAAGCTCCTACGTCGAGTTCCTTTTGCTTGTTTTATTTATGAAGACTATTTGCTATTGCAAATACTGGGTGGCGTGCTAAAGTAATGAATATACAGCGCCTGCTCGCGGGTAAACTGCAAACAGATGTGAGGGGTTTCAGGAGAATGGATTGTTAAGGTTATAGAGGGAGGAATCACAGGGAAGGCCTTGAAAAGAAGTGCAGTTTGAGACAGGCCTGGAAATGTGGGAGACTTTCCACGGGCAAAGCTGTAGTACTAAGAAAACGTGTCGTTTTTATATTCACAAAGATGGATGGCATTCTAAGTGGATGGAGGAGGAACATTGGAAGGTACAGGAAGTACCTCTTTTGGGAATGACGGGTTCCAGATATACTACAGCACATTGCAGTTATTCAACAATATGTGGTATTTGCAGTGTGCCTGTGACTCCTAAGGGGCCACTACGAAACTAGGTTAGAAAGGTATGCTGGGTTCAGAGCATCAGACACCCATAAATGGTATTTAATGACAATTGATGTAGGGACTTTGACTAAATTCCAAGGCAGTATAGTACAGTCATTAAGTAGCTTCAGATAGACCTCAGTGACAGGTTCCAACCTCATATCTTGATTCCACCGTTACTGGATGTGTGATCTGGAGCACACCTCCAAGAGGAAGAGTAGAACATTTCATAGGTTATGTAGATTAACCAAGTTAGGGCTAGGGTAACACATAGACCTTGGGTCTTGTCATACAGTAACCTAACAACTTAGCTACTGAATGCCTACTGTGTTCAAGGCACACTGTCTTAGGATGAAATCGAATCATCACCATATCTATGATGTCCTGAATGAACCGTTTCTTTCAACTTTTATTGGCACCTTCAAGGAGCAGAAAGGAGACAGGCCATGAGCCACAGTGAGCAAGAAGGAAAGAAGTATGAGATGAGGATAATACTGGCTTTTATTGAGCACTTACTGTAATACCCGGCATTGTCTAGGCCCTTTGTATTATCTCATTTAAGCTTCAAAACAGTTTCAGGTAGCTGCACAGTTCCCTCTTTCCTTTCCTATGCAAAGGCATAGAAGAGAGAGAGGGAGGAAAGGAAAACATTTATTGACTACTGTCAGGACCTTTAATCCTGAACAACCCTGTAAGGTGTTCTTATCCTATTGAGTAGACAGCCCAGAAGATATCCTGTCAGGTAGGCATTCTTGTCTGATTTTTATAGATAGATAAGGAAAGCTTCCTAATGGTAAGATTAAGGTCCTACAGCTGGTAATGGATCCATGATTTGAATCCAAGTCTGACTCCAAAATGTAAGCTTTTTCCGTCATGAAACATTGCCTCTAAGAAGCGTCATCTTTTCTTTTTGCTTATCCTGTTGCAGACAAGGGGCTATCAGGAAAACGCACCAAAACTGGGAACTCAGGTGAGGCATTAGATCAAGTGGAGGACTCCAACCCTCAGACGACTTCAGCCACTAAACACTGTGTGAAGAATCTAAGCAGCCACTGGCTGATGAAGTCAGAGCCAGAGAGCCGACTCGAGAAAGGTGTAGATGTGAAGGTGAGACCCTGGACCTTTCTCCAGTCCTTTCATGCTGTTTTTTAAATGAGAAGTGAACATGGGACACCATAGGGTTCTATCCCCAGCTTCTTATCTTTGAAGGGTGGGAAAAAGGTAAAAATGAATAAAATTGGCTGGGCATGGTGGCTCACGCGTGTAATCCCAGCCCTTTGAGAGGCTGGGAGGTCGAGGCGGGTCGATCATGAGGTCAGGAGATAGAGACCATCCTAGCCAACATGGTGAAAGCCCGTCTCTGCTAAAATACAAAAACCTAGCCGAGAATGGTGGTGTGCGCCTGTAGTCCCAGCTACTTGGGAGGCTAAGGCAGGGGAATCACTTGAACTCAGGAGGCAGAGGTGGCAGTGAGCCGAGACTGCGCCACTGCACTCCAGCCTGGTAACAGAGCAAGACTCCGTCTCAAAGTAAGTAACTAAGTAAGTAAGTAAATAAGTAAATAAAATCGGCAGAGTTTATCATCATCAACTGTTTTGTGAATTCTATCTATCTAGGCCAAAGGTTGGCCAACCTTTGCTACAAAGGGCCAGATAGTAAATTTTGCAGGCTTGTGGATGTTAGTCTCTGTTGCAACCCTGCCCTTGTAGCAAGAGAGTGGCCAGAGATAATACATAAACAGCTATGGTTGTTTTCAAGTACAATTTATTCACAAAATCCAGCATGGGGTTAGATTTGCCCTGAAGTCTATAGTTAACCAACCTCAATCCTAGTTTACCTTTCTCTGACCATCTGCCATGCTCCTAGGTGTCTCCCTGCCAACAGTTGGTGTATATTTCAGGGAATTTAATGTAGCCTGGGAAAAATATAAGCAGAAATATTATAGAAGAAATACATAATAAAGTGCAATGCAAGTAACCAGCAGATGACTTTATCGTCTAGATTATCTATTCAACTAGTGGATATCTATTCAACTAATTATGAGGATAATTAGCAAGGATAACAAGGTAACACAAGGCTTACGTGTATTCACCCAACAAGTGTCTCTGTGGAGCCACTTCCCAGTAACGACATACTTCCACTATAGCCAGTGGCCCCTCTCACTGTAGGGGGAACTGTCTGCTTCAATATATGCTTACTAGCTGGCCAAGGATTAATGATTGACTTTATTTCCTCTTGCCTAGTTCAGCATTGAGGATCTCAAAGCACAGCCCAAGCAGACAACATGCTGGGATGGTGTTCGTAACTACCAGGTAAGAGGGTAAGGAGCAGGCTCACTGAGACCCAGGTGGGATAAACGCCTGCCTCCTCCTCATGACTTATTCAGTAGCAGAACCTCTTGGCCTAGGTTGCTTTTTTTTCAGAACCAAACCTGATAATGTATTAAAAAATGCCCTAAGTACTCTGCATGAAATTTGTAATTGGCCTGTGTTCTGGCCAGTGTAGTGGTAAAAGTTTGGGTGTCCTGGCAAAGGGGAAGGACTTTCTAACAAATTGGGGAGAAGATGCAAACAAGAAAAACCCATCTAATAAAAGCAGACGTGATTTCTGCTAAAAGCTAGTACTTTCCAGCTGGTAGGGAGGATCATTCTTGTTTCTTCTCCCCTGAGACAGGCTCGAAACTTCCTTAGAGCCATGAAGCTGGGAGAAGAAGCCTTCTTCTACCATAGCAACTGCAAAGAGCCAGGCATTGCAGGACTTATGAAGGTTAGTTGGACAGGTTTTGGTCTGAATCCTTTTCCCTCCATGGAGACTAAGTTAAGTCAATATAAAGGGATACATGTTAAATAGGTAACAAAAAAGTACACTCCCCCTAGCCTACCCTCCTTGTCACAATAGGGAAAAACTGCCTTGGCCCATTCCTATATGACAACAACTCAAACAAAGTAGGCCTTCATTTCAGGTCCCACTAGCACAGACTTAAGTCTTAAGTCTTGATCTCACTCGAAAATAGTCCTGATAGTAGCTCCACCAAGCTTATCAGGATAAAATTATTAACTGTGCAGGTGGGAAAAACACAGTAGTGCCAGTAATAAAATTTGCCATTTGCTTTTAGAGCTTGTTTCTAAGACACTTTTGTAAAAACAGAGTTGATTTCCTAGACTATGTATTAGGCTATATATTATTTCCAGATATCTGAGCCTCCATTGGCTCTACAGCAAGGCAGATGGGGTAAGAATGTGAAGGCTAAGAAATGAAAGTTGTATATGGATTAAAGATTGGCTGTGGAGCTGAATGCAGGCAAATGATAAGAAACTTTTGTTTTGGTTTCAGATCGTGAAAGAGGCTTACCCAGACCACACACAGTTTGAGAAAAACGATCCCCATTATGACCCATCCAGCAAAGAGGACAATCCTAAGTGGTCCATGGTAAAGACTGTGCTTCCTATTTCATGACAGAGGAAGGATGAACAAGGGGAGGAAGATGGTTGGGGTGACTGTAGGTCAAGGTACACAGCCCAGCACTTATTCAGATGACGTGATGCTGACTTTGAAGTTAGGAACTTCCTGCAGGCAGTTAAAAACACAGCAGGCAGAGTCTCACTAGACATATCTTTCTGTCATGTACACTCTTGTCACATAGGTGGATGTGCAGTTTGTTCGGATGATGAAGCGTTTCATTCCCCTGGCTGAACTCAAATCCTATCATCAAGCTCACAAAGCTTCTGGTGGCCCCTTAAAAAATATGGTTCTCTTCACTCGCCAGAGATTATCAATTCAGCCCCTGACTCAAGGTAAGAGTGGGTCCTCTCCTTTATCATCTGTATACCAGGATGACCTCATGAATTCCCATTTACTGGCTGATTAAACTGGGCATGGCATTTCACCTTTCTCAGTCAGCATCCTCACCTGCAACATCCATGAGGGAGGGAATGTCACCTGAGTTACAGGGTTTTGCACCTGGTAAATAGTTTTCAATGACTGCTCGCCTTAGTACCATGTAAAAGTGCCTGGCATAACTTCCCTGTTCAAGAAGAGACATAAGACCCAATTCTTCCCTTTTTCCCTTGCATTTTGTAGAAGAGTTTGATTTTATTTTGAGCCTGGAGAAAAAGGAACCAAGTTAAGTGAGATACTACTGCTGGAATGGGCAATATTACTCCAAAGAAGTCAAGGATTTTTCAGAGAAAAGAAGGTGTGAGAGGGCTTGCTTGTTATGCTCACCTGGGCTTGTGTACCTAGTGGTTTTGTGTACTTTTTTCAATAAAATAATATCAAAGTTGAAAAAGTTTTCTTCTAAAACTGCACTGAGTACAGTGGAATTCTCCCCACTGCATACCTCTTACCTCCAAGCGGGCTCCTTTGGCTGCTCCAAGATGCAGGGCTGCCTCTGCCGTCTTTCTTTACCATCACTAGTAGTTCTGTAGCAAATAGCAGGATGTACGGCTGAGACCACCCCCCCCCCCCCCCCCGCCCAGTCTGGTAACACCCACTGGAATGGACTTTTGTCTTTCTACACCAGCCTTGCTCACCTGCCCCTTACATCATCTGGGTCCCATAGAGGATTAAACCATCCCATGAGCAGTTCTGGACAAACTGCCAGATGGGGATAAGAACTGAATTCATTTCTCAGCCATGCGCTTTGTCTCAAACAAACAGGCGGTAAATAAAGTATTCATCAGGCTGGGTGGTGGCTCACTCCTGTAATCCCAGCACTTTGGGAGGCTGAGGCAGGCAGATCACCTGAGGTCAGGAGTTCGAGACCAGCCTGGCCAACATGGAGAAACCCCGTCTCTACTAAAAAATACAAAAATTAGCTGGGCGCAGTGGCAAGTACCTGTAATCCCAGCTACTTGGAGGCTGTAGCAGGAGAATCTCTTGAACCTAGGAAAAGGAGGTTGCAGTGAGCCGAGATTGTGCCATTGCACTCCAGCCTGGGAGACAGAGCGAGATTGTCTTAAATAAATAAAGTATTCGTCATTTTTCACCAGGGGCTATACAGTGAGAGCACAGGCACTATGTTGGGAAATCGGAGCAGGTATCTGTCTTTCCCTGAGTGTCAGAAATGGGACTGTGTAAGACAGAAGAGATCACAGAACCTGGTGGACCGTGGGCACAATGCCTCCAAAGCCACAGGGGCTTCCTTTAATCAGAGAGACCATTAAAACAAATGCTCTTTTAAAATACAGCCATTGAAAAGACGACACATTAAGAAACATGTAAACACTGCAGCTGCTTAATTACAAGTTGCACTGCTTGATTTAGTACCTATGCACTCCCAGGTTTGGGGACCTTAAGAGAGGGGGACAGGAGCCTCCCCTCACTTTCACAGTTGGATAGAGAAGGCAAGAATGTGGGTAGAGTAAGAGAAAACAGAAGAGCTGGCTTGTGCACAGCGCCTGAGAGAATCAAAGCAAAATGTATCTTCTAGTTCTCCCAGAAGAAAGGTTTAAGATGTTAGGAAGGATGGAAAATGAACATATGTTGTCAGTTGGGAGGCAAAGGAATTGACAAATGCTTCTAGTTAGAATACCAACTAGGAAAAGGAGGCATACAGAGCCTGACCTCATGCTCTGAAAAGGCAAGGAACCCAGAACCTGCCTCCCTCATCCACTTAAGCCCCAACCTTGATCATCAAGGGCAGTGCATGGGTGATCCTGTTCCCATGAGGATTGTGTGTCGCACCTGAACACAGGACCCTGCGTGGAGGAAACAACCTTGCCTTCCTTGGTTTTGCTGCCCCTAGTCACCCAGGCTACTCCAAATGCCTCTCCCTCCAGTCTCAGCTCTGATCCATGAGCCCTGCCAAAGGCCTGAGACTGCACTGATCTTAGCAAAACAGGAGTCTGTCTTTCCCACACTAACTGAAAGGTGACACAGGAACCAACCCCTTAACTTTCCACATTTCTGAGAATTCAGACCGCCAAATACTCTACCTGTTGGCCAGTGAGGCCTGCTTGGTCTTTCTATAAAGGGAAGGGAAGCCAATAGGAGAGTAATGCCTGTCACTTCCAGGAGAGGCAGAAAAAGGACAGTAAACAACTTAGGCCCCAGAGCACAGCCATAGAGGGAGAAGTGCCTTCCTTCCTCTCCAGCATAACAAGAATATTCTCAAGAATTTTTGTATATGTGTTTTTTAATACCAATGGTCCTAAACTTGGGTCAATCAACTGGTGAAGATGACATTATTTGGCAAGCAGAATGATTCAGAAGTGAGGCAGCAGTCTACTGCAGAGGCCCCAGTCTCCCCTGCATATCCTATAGGAAGAGGGGTAAAGGGGCTTGGATATTAGTAAGAACAGCCTTGCTAAGGGTTCAAAACTAAGCCCCAATTCCCAGAAATGAAATGGAGGGCGAGGAGAGATGAGGGTCCACT